AGATCTCTCGGATCATGGTGCGTCAAAGGAACCGAAGAATCCACTCTGGGCAAGGATTCTTCGGTTCCTTTGACGCACAACGATCCGAGAGATCTTGGATTGATCTGTTTAGTAAAGAATTCGGATTTAAGAATCCAATCTTGGATTTTCTTAAAGAAACGCACCCCAAGTGTCGAGTAACCTTCATGTAAAAATAAGTAAGTGTGAAAATTCGTTCCATTCATTGAGAACTAAAGTCTTCCGATCCTTTGCTTCCGTGTAGTTTTCAAACACCTGTCTGCCCCAGTGTACGTGTTTGTGGCCCAGTGGGACTCGTACCAATTACAAGAACTTGTCCATTCCAAATTTCCCACAATGAGACTTCCACCGGAACTACCGAGTGAAGCTGAATACCTGGGCAAGTTTGGGAAGAACACGCACAGGTCGCTGAGACGGGTAGGTAGTTACTTAGTTTGTTTGGGTTGGAGTGGGAAAATGAAAATGGGTTGCCTTGCCTTGGGTGTGAAGCGATGGTGATGTCTACCTTACCATCGCGCGTGCGTTTGCAGTGACCGTAGTCAGAGATAGGAAACTCCCGACCGCGCTAAGAACCAATCAGATAATGTAACATTCGTTACCGTGCCCTTTTGGGAAAAAGAGAAATGTAGATACGGTGTCGTTCGTCGTCTAAGTTGCCAAACGCTGACATCAGCCCAGCCCCAAAGACCGGCTATACACGAGGCAATCACTCGGGATCCTGGAGAAGACTCGACCCCAGCCTTTTCTCTCGTCAACCACATGTGTCACTAACTTTAATTTCTTGTCACGCTGTAGGTTATCAACAGCCAGAAGGATGGTGTTTTTTCACCCGCCTGTTTCATGCACGCATTCTCTAGCGACAATCTTACTAACACGGACCAGACATTGAGTTGTGAAATAGGAGGTAAGTTACGGACTGGGTAATAAGTAAAGCAACATCGTCAAGACTGGCAAACCTACTACACATAATTGAATTAGCTACAGAAGTTGCTGATCTCGTTCATGCTACCTTTGGTAGTATGCTCTCCCAGTGTTTTGCCAGGTTCTCGAAATAAGCAGGGCTTACAAAGGACCGCAGTGAAAAGTAAAGAGTGCAGGTTGATAAAGCCAGTGTTTTAGCTAAGAACCCATCTCACGGGGTAGTTCTGTTCTGCTCCCCCTCTCCAACCCCTTATTTTGTATTGTAAGGGAAATAAAGCGACAGAATACGGAAACGGATATTTGATCGTCATTTCAAGGTCGCAGAGACTGGTAAAAGAGAAAGGTATTCTTTCTTTAATCATTCAACACTTTTCAACTCGTTGTAGGAAAGACACCGTACAAAGCCTTTTCAGAATGGTTTATCAGCAATGGCACACGTGGGACCTATGTAGAGGAGCCGCTGGACAAACCAGAATGCAACCCGTCTTGTTGTTCAAAGCTTTGCTTAAAGTGCCGCAAACCTAAACCCACTGTAGCATACGATGAAACCACAGATATCATTATTGGAAATAGTAAGTGGTCGTCGAGTTAGAACAATTGCAGACCATGTTCCTTTTCTTCAATGTTGGGTATTGTCGTACAACGGAAGCGTTTTTCGCTAGTTCTTGAGCGTAACCGAACACAGTCTGGTTGAGAAAATACCTACTACATAACAAGTCGAAGGTTTACTCTCCAGGTGTACTGCCTGATTTTCTCGTTTTTCGTTGAACTGTTTCCTTTGATTGTCTTCTCTTTTTCTGTTTTTATCATGTAACAACGACACTTTATTGTACTGATTATCAACTTTGTCACGGAATGAAAACACTCTACATCGTCCTTCTAAACTTCTCGAAGATGTCTTCTGATAAAGAACTACCATTTCTTTTCTTTTCTTTTCTTTTCTTTTCTTTTCTTTTCTTTTCTTTTCTTTTCTTTTCTTTTCTTTTCTTCAGTATAAGGAATATGTCCAGGTTCTTAGTTACACAGCTCAATTCAGTTTTTCCATCGATTACTTAATGGTCTTAGTTATTTTTCTCGCAACAACCGCCCATTTGACGATCTGGAATAAACAGACACTTCATGGGTAGCAGATATTCCAAGTTAATACTAAATACCTTTCTAACTGGTGTGTTTTACCTTTGATCTTAGGTGCAGTTCGTTGGCAGCAACCAACTCTCATAACATGGGCTTTGGCTTTTTTAGTTTACTTCTTCGTCTTCTGGAAAGACGTAGTTCTTTTGTAAGGCCCCATTATAAAGCCTGTTCCATGGAATTCTGAAGTTCCACGCAGGCCCATGGTGACCTGGGGCATTCTGCGACGAGATTTACGCTTTTGGCTGTTAAAAAATTGTGCTTTTAAGAATCTAACCCAGATTTGAGATATGATGCATTTGTATCTCGCCATAGTGGCCAGAAATGCTTATCCTCGATCGAGAATATAACTATACCAGATTAAAATCAACCAGTTACGAGTAGAAGTAGACGACCCTGTCCGTGATGAAGATCATCATCGCAGACACAAAAGTTAGCTTGAAAAAATCGGAATGCATACGTTACAGTTCTCCTAATATACTCGCGTTTTCTAAAACCTTTATCACGCATCACACTTACTATTTCCAGTGATGTCACGCTGCTTTTGTTATTTTTCGCTCCAATTATTTTTGAATGACCTTCCAACGTTACTGCTGGATAATCCGGCACAGAGTTTATTTTTTATTAGGGTTATTGTTTTATATCATGTGCATAGAAATACTTCACATCAGTGTATATAATCGCAGTCTAGTCCTGTACTCAGATCTCCTCACTGCGCAGGAGGTCTGAGTACGAGACCAACGTCAACCAAGTTTAAATTTGCGATCAGGCGATTTTATTTGTCACGGAGATAGGACAGCCGCAAAAAAAAAAAGAAAGAAAAGAAAAAAAGTAATGATAAGAACGCCAAGGCCTGATCATAGGCACAGTTAATAGAGGGGGAAGGTTATGAGACCAACAACGTTCTTTGTTGTATGTTTTTTGTTCCATTTTTTGGGTGTAGCCGTGCACAAAACTCGATGGTTGTTCACTTCTGACCGAGGAACTAACCAATAGGAACGTTTTGGTTACATAATTCATATATAGTATATGAACGCAAAACACGGTCGTGGGCCTTCCGGCATAAATCTTTTTTTCTTTTTCTTTCTTCTTCTTCTTCTTTCCTGCTGCTATCATTTTTCTTTTTTTTTTTATAATCGATATTGCAATCGTTAGCACGATAAGCGATATCGATATGGCTTTATATTGCTGCCACTNCCTCATGACAGTCCCTATCTATTAACTATGTCGCAGGTTAGAAATGTGTCACGCAATCTTTCCTCGTTGGAATGAAGTATTACGCACGCGTGGCAAGCGAGGAAGGCTCTGTGAGATGCTGAAGACGATGGAGTAGAAAAAAGAAGAGACAATTTTTATAAGGCCATGTAACTGCCTTAAAAAATCCTAAAACTGTATTAGGTGTATAGGAGATTTCCGCGTCATATTGATGCTTATTTCAACGAAATAAATTCATTGTAAAATAGAATTATTTACATGCTAGGAGCAGAGGTCATTAGTAAGTCTTTTGTTAATGAAAAATAAATGAGTAAAAATATACATAAAACTGTGCTTGCTTGCTCAAGATCCAGTTCATAAGATGACCGCATGCTTGGTAATCTAATACAAAGTTTCTGCAAATAATGGACGATTTGATCGATTGAGGCCTTGAGTCTTGAGCATTGCCTGACTATGTTGTAGATCGGCGGAAGCTTGGAATAAAAAACAGAAATACTGTAGCTCAAGGCTTCAATCGAATCGTTCATTTAATTAACATGCTACTGAAGGACAACCTGAAACGTTTTCTAGACTTAGTTTGGTAAATTGAATTCCTTTGCCTGTTTTCTTCGTTTCGGCCATAGACACGTCATAAAAAGAACTTGGCCAGCAACGCGATCAAGGTAGTTAGGGAGGCTGATAACCAAAAACAACCTATTACATTGCTTTATTGATAACAAGTAAATTATTGTCGATAGGCACGCCAAAACCTGCAACGTATTACGTAATCGGTGTAAAGAAAGTAAACCAGCGCACTACATATAACTGCACTACTATAGCAACCATCATCAATTATCATCATCCTGCTGCTGTCTTCTTCGCTTCCATGCACCAGTTCTTGACTCTGATTGGTTCTTTCTCCTGGTACCTCACGTGACCAGAGTTTGAGGCATGCAATATTGTGTACTGGGGCCTGTTTCTCGAAAGACCCGGTAAGTTATCGGGCCCGGTATTTGCGGGAGCTTTCGAGAAACAGGCCCCAGGACTGCTATTAACAACAGGGGCAACAATTTTCAGCGTTAGTGTACTAATCGTAAATGTTGTTCACGAATTATGGACAGTCGCATTGATAATACGACCCATTGGCCTTATCCTAGACTGTTCACAACCTCTCCATTTTTCAACGCACGCAAAAGAAAGAGCAAACAAAGTGATGGCGAGTCCGAAAGCACGAGAGGTGGGGGCGGGGTAGCAAGCCAAACGAAGAATCCTTTGAGGTGAAAATAGACCAGTCCACAGCAACATTGTTATTTTCTTTGAATGTTGAGCTTTAAGTGAGGTTCGCAGAGCTCGAGTTACCAAATAAAAACGGTCAACAGCAATTGCCGCCAAGATCGAAACTGACTAAAAGACTAGTAGAATATACGTGCCCGATACAAAGAACATATATGCAATATGACCCACAATTTCTTTTGAAGTCTGAACTACAATCTATCGTTGGTTCTGGAACATGTAGGGTGCAGTAAGTAGACTTCTACTATCAATGAAAGGCAAACCAGGTGATCAGAACATGCTTGCCAGTTAATATCAGATAATTGGTAGTGTTATTCATGGAGTTAACTGTTCGTATAATGTGAATGATTGCTGAGTTACCGAATAGAGACGCAAGGAATATTAGAAGTATATGACGTAGGCAAAATTTATCAGTCTTGCAAATGTATTTCACCAAAGGAAGTTTGTCTTGTTTTCTGCAGAGGATAAATATAAACGTAACATTACTTTCTATCTATCGACTTTTCCGAGTTGTTTACCCATAGAATATGGTGGTATACTGATTTTAATGAGTTTGTTCTCAAGGAAGGGGTGACCTCTTGTTTTCATCGTGAAGCGAACATTATCTCTGAACACTCACTATCGTTGATCCCCCATCTTGGATTTTAGGGGTTTTTTTTTTTGCAAAGCGCAAGTGAACCACCAAAATGGCTCAAAAATAGTCTTGAACCTCTTTTAAGAAATCCAAAGTTATCTAAAAAAAGAAAAATGTAAAAGGTACTACTATAAACAGGAAAATACAATACAAATTTCGATCAGTCGTGTTAGGTATTGCCAGCTGAACCATCTGTCCAGCTACCTTCGGTCTGAACATCAACGCAGACGCCAGGGACTTAGCTAGGGGGAGAGGGGGGGGGG